GACATTCTGGATGGTATTTCATAAGTTATCCATGTATAATTAACTATAAAATTGTATCATTAGACTTTATTTATTTAAATTATTGATCAATAGGCACTTCTGTTTTTAATAACAGGATCACTTTTTATCTATTTTATTTTCCACGCTTAAATTTTATTAGTTTATTTATGCTTATGTGTTTGGGTTCTTATTAGTGACATATGTGTGTGAGGGAGCCTGAAAAGGACAATGGAGATCATTGGATCCCTTGGAGCTGGAATTACAGGTAATTTAAGTCACTGAGTTCTCTAGAAGAGCAGCAAATGCTCTGAACTGATAAACCATCTCTCCAATCCTCAAAATCATATTTTTCTCTCTTTTTCTTTACATTAAAAAGAGTTTTCTCATAATATATTCTGATTATTGTCCCCCTCTCCTAACTCCTCCGAGATTCCTCCCACCTCTCTACCAAATCCACTTCCTTTTCTGTTTCCTAGTATAAACAAACAGGTATGTAAAAATGAAAGAAAAAAATCACGAAATAAATACTGACACACACACACATAGCCCTAAAAAGCATCATATAAACAACATATGTATAGGATAAGGGCAAAAAAGCAGCATATAAACAACAGATTATAGGATAAGGAGAGAAAGACAGAGAGAGAGAGAGAGAGAGAGAGACAGAGAGAGAGCAGACAAAAGATTATGAGAAAAAGAAACCTGAAGAATACCAAGAAGTTTGTTTGTGTTGGCCACCTACTGTAGGAATGCAACTTGGCCTTAAGAGTTGTATGTGTACCAAGTAAGCCTTCATTAAAAAAAAATCATTTGAAACTGGCTGTCAATTGGATGTAGCATCTGGCCTAGGGATGAGGACTTCTGTCCATTTCTGTTCTCAGTGATAAAATCACATCAGGTCCAGATGTGTAGAAGCCCTGTGCATGCTTCCAGGATCAATTTTAAAAAACTAAATCAATGTAGTTACACAGAGACTAATCTCAACTTGTTTTAGTAATTTTATCTAGTGTTTAAAACATATAAAACCTCTAGAGTTTAATAATGTATCCAAATTTAAAACTCTCAAATGTTTTCATATTCCAGAATTACTAATGAATGGGAATCTGTGATGTATTTTTACTTATAGACAACAGTTTTTATGTTCTGGCTAATATGTTTTGAAATAAATACATTTTTAAATCATACCTAATTGAAAATAAATTCTATAAAGTTAAATTGAAGTTAGAACTAGGGTCCCTGTTGAATTTCAATATAAGTGGTTAAAATTAGAGTTTTATTTTATATACTTAAAACTAAATTATTTGGCCCCATGGGGTATGTACATCATATTAAATGGAAATGGCTTTTAGTTTCATGTTTCTAAGGTTGTCAGTAAATGTATTCACCAAAGATAGTGGATGATAACTTTTCTTTGATAATGAAAAAACACCTTAGGCAGGAATTATCTTTTCAGATATAAAGTTAATTAACTTATAAAACAACTTTGTAATTACAGAGAAACTAAGAGTGGGCCTATTTCTTTAAATCACCTCTATAGTGATACATTTTAAAGTATTAAGCAATCAACCTCTTTATCTTTTTAGCCATTGACAAGAGTCACATGACAATAGTTAAAATCTTTGTCCATTTCTCTGCACAATTGTCTTGCTTAGCTGGTTATGTCTCTTGCTAAACTGCTATTACTATAGCTTTGGATAGCTGTAAATTTTAAAGATACCCAGGCACTCTGTGCAGTGTCTTTTATTGTGTTCTCATTCTTTTCCTTCCTACCCCTACCTTGTTCTAAAGCTCAGTCTTGTGCTCTGACTAGGAGGATGTAGTCCACTCATTATGATAAATGAGCAGGTTTTGATTATTCCTCCATGACTATGTGTGCTTGGGGTGCTCCTATTGGGATCCTACCCACCATGTTGTGAGCAGTTCAGGTTATACAGTTACCCAGGGAATACCAGTGGAAGATAAGACTGTACAAAGTCTTGTCCCTCTCAGATGACCCTGCAACTATCGGCCACTACCTACTGCTAGCAATCTTTATCCAGGTTACTCTAACAACAGGGTCTGTTTTGTTATGTGAATTGAAACTACCCAATTCAGAACAGCTTAATCCCAGAATCATAAAACAAGAATAGGTATTTTTAATCACTAAAGTTTCTATTAGAAGAGATATAACAGGCAAAACCTTTTTACCTTATTCAGAGGGCTCAACAGCTTTACTCCTTTTACTTTTGCATTGTTACTCAAGGTCAAACTTCTTCTTCCATGTGTTCCTGGGGTTATTAGCCTGTTGCTAGGCACACAGGGTTGTGACTACTTGAGGCTGTTATATGAATCACAAGTAAAAGAAGACATGAGGAACAGACTTCTGCTATAAGGCAAATGTTTCGTAAAGCTCTAAGAACTTTCATTAAATTAGTATTAACATCTATCTTAAACAAGCTTACCCATGTCCATACAGACATTAAATAAATCTGAATCAATCAGTAGAATTTATAATAATTTTAAAAGTTTGGGGAAGATTCAACCTGAAATATCTCATTCTTTTTTCTTTTTTAAGATTGTCATAAGTTACAAATATACAATATAGTTGCAAAATGATAAAGGAACAAAAGCAGCATAAGAAAACATAACTAATTATTTAAAGCCAGGCTTTAGTGGTGCATGCCTTTAATCCCAGCACTCAGGAAGCAGAGGGAGGATCTCTGTGAGTTTGAGTCCAGCCTAGTCTACAGAGCAAGTTCTGGGACAGGCTCCAAAGCAATACAGAGAAACACTGTCTCGAAAAACAAATACAAAAACGAACAAACAAAAAGTTTAATTAGTGGGGATTGCAAAAGTGATATCAAGGGCCATACTGTAAACTCATGGGATGAACACAATGAAGTTATCTCCTAGAGGAATGGAGAAATATCTAAACAATTAGGAATACTTCCTTATTATTGAAGAAGACCTAGGTTAAATTCAAAGCACCCATATGGTAACTAACAACTATCCATAATTCCAGTTCTAGGGGTCTGGTGCCCTCTTTGACTCCTACAGGCATCAGTCACATGTGTCATATACTGACGTTCTTCTTTACTAGTTGGTTACAGAGTTACAAGTATCTATCTATATCTATCTATCTGTATGTATATATGTATACAGATGATGTTATATAATACTAAAAGCATACAATAAAATAAGTAAATCTTAAAATAAACAGTCTTCTAATGTCTGCTTCGTATTATGCATGGATTTGACCAGGAAGTAAGTAATGACACCTACTCACTGTTGGCAATCTTGTGCTGTAATGAATACTGAGTTCAAGTTCATCTAGTAATACTAAAACGGTGAAGTGGCATTCAATTACACACGCTGGGACTAACAGATAGAATGAAAGGATTGCTATACCTGATTCAGGGATTTTGATAAGGCATGACAGAAGAGGTATTGTTTAAAATGTTACTTTCATTGTTTAATCTCCAAAGCACTTTTAAAGCAAAGCCCCCCCATTAATATCATCAGTAGATATTTCCAAAATTGAGGAAATATCCAATAAACCTAAATGAACCTTTCCTTGAAGTTTAGTTTATTCCAAAACACTTCTCCTTTGTGCACTGCTTCCTGGGCTCATACCCCTCTGTTTACAATTTCTATTTAACTCAGGAAGGAGGTTTGACGATTATGCAGAACAGCAAAGAGTATTATATGAGTGGTTTGGAAGTAGTAATAAAATCCTGACCCTCTACGTTTTCAAATTGCACTTGAATAAAACGTAAAGATAACTTTTTTATTTCCAGAAATGACACATTCATGATATGTATTAAATGTCTTTTGAAACTGTTGTAAGGTGCAAGTCATCCACAAAAACAAGTAAAACATATAGCTTTATTTATGTAGTCTTACAGCCAATGTTATTGCTCCAATACATTTTAAATGTATAACCTGAAGAGTTTAAGCCTTAACTCTCCTAGATCAAACTGGGATTTTCTTAAGTGGGAGGCTTCAGCCAAGCTGGAGAAAGAAGGCTGGAGGGGGTGGGAGTAAGAAAAGCAGGGAAGGGAAATGAGGAAAGGGAGAGAAGAAAGGTAGAGGATGAATGTCGCAAGCATGTGGGCATCACTGTCTAGACTGTAACAAAGAGGTGACTGTGGTGTTTTTGGAGTGTGTTGGGGGGGGTGGGAGTTGTGGGAGGGAGAGCTGTGGACTTATTGATGCTGACCACAGGCCCATAGCATTACCTAAGTTGACACTGGAATTAGGCGCACCTGATCCTGTGCTAGGCAGGCACACAGTTTCCTGAGAGAGGCCACAGGTTCTCAGGTGTGCTGAATCAGTTTTCTAGAGGAAGGGAAGGGTCCCATCTACTGGAGATTTAGTTTAATCCTAAGGTTTCTGGCTGTTGAGGGAAGGATGTGTGAGCTCAGTGAGGGAAAAGACCTCTCTCAGCTATCAGCAGCAGGATTTGCAGGTATGCAAGGGCGGAGAAGCATCATTTAGTGCTGTCAAATCTTAACCTGGGCCCCAGGTGCTCGCCGACTCCAGTGGAGCTAGCTGCCTCCGCGCTCCACAGTGTTCTCTGGAAGCTGTGGCTAGAAAGCCGGTCCAGCGTGGGGATTCTCTTCCTCCCTCCACACAACGTACCTGGCCTGGGCTGCAGGACCCACATTCTTGGGGAACCCTTCTCTCAGGGACCGATCCATACTGGGTTGCCTCTGCTCGCTGCTGCTGCCGCGCCTGCCTCGCTGCGATCCCACCAGTTCATGGAGGAATTCTCCCATTGCCCGCCCGCTCTGGGCGACTTTGACTCCGGAGTATCTGGCCTGGCGCCTGCTGGGTGAGCTCAGAGGGGAACGGTCTCCGTGCCGGTTGGAGATTACCCGAGAAAAGAGGATCCCCTAGTCCCAGAGCTGCAAATCGATTTCTCCGTCTGCGTCTTCGTTCTCCACCCCTTCCTTCTAGCCTCTGGGTTTGTTTATATAGCATCTGGAAGCCTGAAGGCAGTGGTCACCCTCTCCTGGCGACTCGCCCTCCTCTCCTGGCCTCTAGGCTCCCGCACGTGGTAGGCACCAGTTTAGTCGCCAGCAGGCAGGCAACAGCCAGCGGGAGGCGGACGCCTGGGTGCCAGCGCCACGCGCGTTCTCGCCATTCTCACTCATCCTCCGCGCGCCCTCTCCCACTTGCCTCTAAAGCCGGGTCACACTTGGCATTTGCAGCCCGCCATCCGTCCCTGGACTTGAAAAGGAGATCGGAAATACTGCCCTGGAGGTGCGGGTGATGCTTCGCTGGGTTCGTTCAGTTGCTGGAAAGAATGGTAACATGAACAGTGGAGCGTGAGAGCGTCAGCAGAGGAAGGGGACAAGATTGATGGGCAGAGGAAACACTTCTCTGAGTATCCTATTCCCTGGACTGCACGACTAAGGGATGTCTTTGCTCCTGCACTTCCTGGCTGGACTCTGCTGACATCTGTAGCCTCCTTTAGCCAGGTCCCCAGGTCGCCTAAATGCTGCCTGCAGAGGAGTGGTCTGACAGCGCATGAGGATCCAGGAGTTTGTGAACCCTTTTTCAAACATAGTTCTGACCTGGTTATGGTGTCCCTGGATTCTGCCTGGCAAGCTGGCTCCAGAGGGAGTTGAACTTGAGTTCAGGTGGGTTATCCCAAGGCAAGTAAAGGAAGAGCTGTTTGGTGAAAATAAGGGAGGTGATGTTCCAATGTCAAAAGTGGACACTTTTCTTCCAGACACTTGACTGGACCAAGCCACTCCCTCCCATTCAGTTCTCCCTCTTAATCTCCAACTCTACATCCCAGACCTCCCACACTAAGGGCGGGGGATGGTGGACAAACAGCTACAGCAAAACACCTCCTATTTACTGACATTTCTAGCATGCTCTGACTTCCTCATAACTTATCATTATTCTATGAAACGATCGTATTTACTCCACTGCTTTTTATTAATGGAGGTCAATAGACTTAATGATTTCCTCAGTTGAGTCATTTATTTCTAAGCCAATAGATAATGCCGTCGTCATAATTTTCTGGAGAAAAGTAACTGTGCATTTGTTCTGCAGATGGCCAACTCCCTCTGAACCCTGCAGATTGGTGCTGAGCAAGCAACAAAACTTTGTAGCATCCTCTCAGCTTCTGGGGGCTTCCCAGGAGAGAGAAAAGGACTTTGGCATTAAATACAAGAAGCAGGCAGGGAGACCTCTCTAACTTTTCTCCACTTTTACCATTTGCAATGAAGAGGAAACAGAAGAGATTTCTGCAAATTACTTTGTTATTCACCGTGGCTTTAATTTTCCTGCCCAATATTGGTCTCTGGTCTTTGTACAAGGATAAACACCTAGTGAAACCTGCAGAACCTGCTGAGCATCAGGTAAGTACCAGCCAGGGCAAGGGTGGCAGGGGTTAGGTGTGCACCTAGCCTTAGGGGCACATAGGAGAAAAGTATAGGAGTTTCTTCCAAGTTCTCATAGAAGGGATTGTACAGATTTCAGGATACTTTGGGCTTTGAGCAGGTCCTGGTTCCCATCCAATGACATGGTTAATGGAACATAAAATGAGAAAGAAGAACCTGAGGTCAAGAAGAAAAGGTATACTTTTCCAATTGGTCATAGATTGGTTTTTGACTTGATGGGGGAGGAAGGCAACTGCTCTTTTGTGGGAGGAAGAAGTGGGTTTAATACAAGTTCAATTCCAGTGAATGGATTTTGCCTTCTGTCTTGTGTGTATGTCTATATTAAGTACATCTGGCCAACTAAGTCATTCAAATTTTAACGTGGTTTTCAAAAACCAATTCATTGTTTGCTGTATTTTTTAATTCTGTTTTCTACTGGGGAAACTTAAAGTCTGTATTTTATCTTCCCTTTTGCTGTTGTGGTATGGTAGTCTGTAGAGGCAACTGTTAAGAATGTATATGCAATTTCCCCCCATATTTGTTGCTAAAAGGATTTCTTTATGTGATAAACAACATTCAGTGTGATATTTTGCTTTTCATCTACTTAACATGTAACCATTAGAATGCATATGTTTGCAACATGACTTAATGCCATGCCTAAGTAACTTTCATAGACAATAAGGATGTCAAGGATCTTTCACAAAATGCTGATGAAATCAATACTGATGGTTAGTAAATACAGCTTGTATTAAAAGAAAGTTTGAGCAAGGAATTTCATCTCACCTCAGGAAAACAATATACTTTCCAATCACTACCATATCCTTAATTTCATGTACTTTTCTTACATAGAAGAGACTAAGCAATCCACTTCTGGGCAATAGCAATATGTATTAATGGTAATTGATTATTTGTTCCTAGAGTTAGCAAAATTTAATATGTTTAATCAGTGAGTGGATAGTTGTAGATTACATGATCTGATGTTTTTCATTATGAGAAATCATTACCAGTTTTTGAACTTAAAAAAAAAAAAAACAATATGCTTTGGATTTTTAGGGCACTGGGATTTTCAGGAAAAATGTTGATATAATTTCATTTAGTTGTTGATCTTGATCATAGTTTCTAGTCAGAATTTAGTTTCAGATTGAAATACTATGGGTTTTCTCATACCAATAAATCCAGAGGGGACTGAAACTTTGGCTGTGAACTCCCCAACATATATAGTCTTTTATTCACAACAGAGTAATGTCAAAAGTTGTAGTCAATATTTTACTATCAAAACTGCCACAAAATTAGGAAAAATAAGTAGAAAATACTTTGTTATTGACTAATTAGTAAGTAATGCAATCTGAAGAATTTGCTGTGATAGTTAATATGAAACTCGAATTGAATAATCTTACTAATGAGACCTTAACAACTTTTAACTTTGGCTATTGATTTTGAGGCTTAATGAGAAAGCCGTTTGTCCATTAGCATAAAAATGTTATATTTCAGCTGTGAATCATCCTAATCTTCAGAGCAGTTTGCCTGTTTTTGTATCTTGTGACATGAAACTAATAATTTATTTTCAGTAACAAAATGATGGATCTGATTGTTTTAAGTGGTAGGAGAGCAGTCAGTTGTACTTTATGAAAGTTTATTGCAACATAGAGAAAAATGTTGATACTACTAACTTAGATCCTGAAATATAAAAATCCATTGGAAAAGTTTTGAAAATTGTATAGGATGAAAAGATACTGATAAGCTTATGATAAATATTCCTATGTACTTTGTCACTTCTATCCAAATAACAGTTTGACAATTTCCACTTTCTTACAGATTAAAAAAAATGAAATGGAGTGTTCACACCATTATGTAATTTTTGGATGGGTAAAAGTTAAGTCATTAGTAAGTTTGGCAGTATAAAAACAATTTGTGATGACATATACCTTATGTTGTGATATTAGAATGTATTATTTTGCAAGTGTGTCTATATTTCAATACTAGTTATTTATATGCTATTTCCAGTAAAAACAGGGTTTCAATGACTGATGTAAACTGTTATTTAAATTCAGAAATTTATTTTCAAAACACATTTTCAGAAATCATGTGTTACTACTTTTATCTTGATGTAAAATGCTGAGGATGAAAGTGGTATACAAATGACAGCAACGACAGCAATAAATACCGAAGCTATTCAGAACACATCACATGCTGATAAGTGGCAGTATATTGTCACAGCTGTTGTGTGTGAAACAACCAGTGTTTCATGTTCACAAGGGTTGAAAACTCTACATGGGTTTAAATAAGTATATCATTACACTTAGTAGCCAGGAAATACCTCAAGATAAAAAAGTTATAAATCATGAAATAATTGGAATCTTTCTCAAATATCCAGTTTATTTATTTATTTTTTTACTTTCTTCTCTTTTTGGCCAGATTACATCACTAATACTCTTTCTACCCAGTGTCTAATTTAAATTGTATTTATTTTGCAATGTGGGAGTATTTGAAAGAAGGTAATATATAAGACAGTGGAAAACTTTTCATCTTTTTGAAGTTTAATATTTATAATATTCCACAATATTATTACAAATTGCTTATGCTTATAGTACTTTTATCTTAAATACAGTATTTATCATTATTATGCTTAATACCAATGAGGAAGTAATAATGTATAAGAATTCTCAAATTCTTTTTTGTGGGTTTTGTGGGTTCCCTTTCTTGATTATAAATTCAAGTAAGACTGATAAAGCAGTATTGATAACAACGCAAGCAAGTGTACATTTCAAGTTTGAAATCAAATATATAAAATTAATCTTTTCCATTTTTTAGGATTTGAGGTGTTTACTTATGTTTTTTGAATTATTATGATTATATGCTATTTTCAGTTGACTTAATATGCTCATTTTCTCTTTTCATTATTATTGAAACTGTTTATTGATTGTAAAAATATTTAGATGGTAGTGATTGATAAGATTCTTGGGTGCTAAATCTTAATTTTCTCTTCATCTTCAAATATGTGAAGATGTGGTCAAAATTGTGCTGGGTTTTCTGAAGATGAGAAAACCAAAACAAACCAATAGCACAACAAAAGTTCCCAAAATAGATAATCATATTGCTCATGTGGGCTTTTTCATTTTATTTAATTTCAGAATTTATGTTTATACCATAGATCTGTCATGTTTGACATACAATGAGATGCATAAAGTCCCAAGAGATTTCCATCTTGGATGTGGAATTTCTGTGAGGGAATCCCCATTTCCTAGGTGACTACATGACATCTGATGCTTCACTTCACTCCTCCATCCCCCAAAAATCCTTTCTTGAAACAGATACTGAAGCATCTTCAACTTTTCCTAGTTCATCCAACATAAATCATGTCATCATTTAGGGGTAGTCTTTGCGTTGACAATGAATATTATTTTTTTCAATAGTGTGTATGTATATGTATTGATTTTTATTTTTTAATATAAACAAACCAGATAATTAGTACTTAGCTTGTAGAAACTGTTTCATGTTATCATTTGTTATGTTAATTACTAAAGCTGAGCAAAATATGTGTTCTTTCCACATAAAACTTTTTTAGATAGTGGAAATGCTGAAAATAGCAAATGAAAATTAATAGTTTTCGCTTTGCACCAGAATAGTCCACTCTTAACATGATACACGTGGAATGATCCGGCCTGTTCTTAATTAGGTTTAATTGTGGATTTTAAAGTAGAGATTGAGAGGAGCTTTTTAAAAAATTATTGAAATTTCATCCAAAATCACTGTAGTTGTTGGTACCAAACATACAACTGTAGCAAGTGTTTCAGTTATTTCATATGTCACAGCAGATCACTACATGGTGAGTCCATCATATCTCCCTATGTGAGATGATGTGATGTAATGTGTTCTGCTACCAATCTAATACAAAAAAGCAAACAATAAGGGAACAATAAAATAGGTTTTTTTTCCTTCATCTCATTTTTGAGTTACACACACTATGCTGAATCAGTTACCCTCAAATAAGTTGTAAGAACTGAGATAAGCTGGAATATACAGAGAAACTATGATATAAGCTGGAATATACAGAGAAACTATGAGAAAGACTGAGTAATTTAAGATGTCTGCAGAAGCACACTGAGTAAATTGTTAGGAGTAACCATGACAACCTAACTTTTAGAAAATTTTCATTCAAGTCTCTTCATGAATATGATATGCCAATGAAGATCATCAAGGGAAAATCTAGACTCATCTTACAGCAAAAGTTGAGAATTAAATAAGAATAAAATCCCCTCAACTAAAATCATGTGTGGAAAGAGATATGGGCACGTTGGTGATGCAATTTGTGTTTACTTGATTGGTTTGCTGACTGTGAAGAGACTGAGAAAAACATATTCAGGATCTTGGAAGCCCTATGAAAGGATGAGGTTGTGGTCTTCCTCTATGTGTGTGTGTGTGTGCATGTTTACAGTAGTAACACACATGTAGGGTAATTTCAGAGGACAGCAATAAAGAAAAAGATACACCAGCCTTAGCCAGCTATTGGTTAATCTGTACTTGTCACTCTATAAAGTTCTGGATTTCAAGTTGTTTCTCATGTGGAATTGTTATGCTGGCATGACAGCATAAAAGAGAAAATACAAATCATGCCTATGATGGACAACATGCTCTAGATATGTTTAAATTTTATAAAGCGATCCTGAAAAGGATCCATGTCATTTCTTCCACCATTCTCTGTTAATATAATAATGTCTGTTTGTAATAAATTCCCAGTGTGGTAGCTGAAAGAGGATAAAAGTATATTAAGGTTTTACTTCCAGTATCATTATTAATGAATGAGAAATGGATTAGTAATAATCTAAATTGAAATGTATAATTTTCTCACATTCACCTATCAGCATGCATATATGTTCAGACATACAACCACACACGTGATCTCACTATGAAACATTTCATATATTCAATTAGTTAATTTTCTACCACATTTAACTACTGAAATTTCTTCTTTTTCCATA